ATTTATTGTGATGCTACTTAATGGTCCAGTTGTGAGGATTTTCGTTTTCTTTATGTTGAGACGTAATCCACACTGCTGACTGAAGTCTTTAATCTTCATCAGTAAGTGCTTCAAGACATTTTCACTTTCAGCAAGCAAAGTTGTGTCACCTGTGTATCGCAGGTTGTTAATGAGTTCCTCCAATCTTGATGCCACGCTCTTCTTCATACAGTCTGTTGTTGTTGTTGTTATGTGCCGTCGAGTCGGACCCGACTCATAGCGACCCCTCCTTGGGTTTCCGAGGCAGTATCATTACGGAAGTAGATTGCCCCATCTTCCTTCCGAGGAGTGGCTGGTGGGTTTGAACCACCAGCCTTCTGGTTAGCAGTCAAGTGCCTTAGCCATTACACTACCAGAGCTCCCTCATACAGTCTAGCTTTTCAGATAATTTTTGCATAAAGATTGAATAAGAATATGGTGAAAGGTGTCAACTATATATAGACATAATTACATGGACCTTGTTTTTACAGTAAAAACAAAAACCAAACTCACTGCAGCTGAGTTGGATCCAACTCATAGCAATCCTTCCCTTGGGTTTCTGAGGTGGTATCTCTACAGAAGTAGATTGCCCAATCTTCCTTCCGAAGAGTGGCTGGTGGGTTTGAATCGCCAGCCTTCTGGTTAGAAGTCAAATGCTTTAGGCACTATGCCACCAGAGCTCCTGTTTTTACAGTAGATAGCATAAATATATGTACTGGTGGGTCCTTAATAAATATAACTGGTAATACTCTATTTTGGTTATTACCTTCTTAACTTTTATTTATTAGTCACCTTTTTTCACCTTCAATCTTCTCTCTGCATCACAATAAATGGAGAAAAGATTGAAGTTGTCAAAGACTTCACACTGCTTGGTTCTACAATCAATGGTTCTACAATGGAAGCAGCAGTCAGGACATCAGATGACGTATAGCACTGGACAAGTTGGCTGCAAAGGACCTCTTTCAAGTGCTGAAGAGCAAAGATGGCTCCTTGAAGACCAAGGTGTGCCTGACACAAGCCATGAAATTTCCCATCGCCTCATATGCATGTGACCATTAATCCATCCATTAATCATCGGAACATGGAATGTATGAAGTATGAATCTAGGAAAATTGGAAGTTGTCAAAAAGGAAATGGAACGCATAAAGATTG